TTTCATGTAACTCTCCTGCTGGAAATGGCTGGGCCTGATAACAGTAGCAAGTGAGATGTTTTGAGTTTAGATAAATGACAACATGAATATAAAACTTTGGGAAACATTATTGCGCAGTATATTTCAGGTCTTGAGCATTTGTATGGCACAGACATATTTTTCATTTCTTGATGTTATCTATTAAGTATTATCCGTATCTTCTGTTTATCTTGTTCATGAGATGTCAGTCTCTGTTCAGGTGATTGACGGTAGAAGAAAACGTATCATCAAGCTTTCTTATGGTTTGATACTGCATGTCGTTGTTAGTCCATCCAGATGGCTATATTAAATGTGGTTTAAATATTTTTATCGCTGTTAGTTGTGTGTATTTTATTCGCTCTTCACATGGCCATATAAGGCAGTTGCCTTTCTTCGTGTTTCCACCTCACTGAAGAAATTAGTTATTTCATTAAATAATAATGCAAACTAGATACTTCCAGCTTGATTTTGAAGTCACATGTTCGATGTTGATGCCTATGAGTCTTCTTACAGCATGTAAGTTGCTAACTCTGTATACATAGTGGTCGAAAATACCGTGTGCCATTTACGACTTAGGCTATGTGGCTCTGGGTGTACGAAAAGCAACTAATCCAGGCTGAAACTCGCACCCCTTCCTACTGCAAAGTATTTTTAGTGCCATCTCGTGACTGGATCGATCAGCAACAGAGTCACTAGGTACAAATTGGGAGAAATATGCATCATGTATTTTTTGAATGCTTTTATAGCACAGTTGTTGCATAACAGTTTTTTGCAGAATACTTTCGAATCAAAAATGGCCATTCGTCGCCTGTTAAAGATTTCATCGAAAAATCTGATGGACTTGATCATTCCGTACGACTGTGCTCTCCAGACCGCAAAAGCGCTCGACAAGGTAGGCTTTCCTGAATCTTTCAGTACTTCTCATTTAAATGGGGCATGGAGTGAACGATAGCAATTTAATTCTGACCGCTCCAGTCATTAGTCTGTGCCCTGAAGAGAGTTCTCGTCATCGAAGTAGTTAATGCTACTTTTTCGAAACAGTTAAACAGTTGAGGCCAAAACTGCGGCTTCTTAAGGGTATTTACTCTAGTCGATTTGATGATCTCTGATGCAAAGTGAACGATGCATTTCATTTTAGTGTTGTATATGTTAGCTTGCAGAACAGATCTTAGCAGGTATTTGCATGCTTCTTGCGACTTCTTCTGATTCCAGTAAATACCCCGTCGCTGTTCACTCTTAGAATGTTCAGCGTTCTTTCTGTCTAGCGAACCACGGTT